AAACCTCAGACAAACTGCAGATTATTTTTTTTTTTCCCAAGAGGAGCAGAACACCCAACTAGCAACTCCCTTACTGCAGCAAAGCCAGACTTGACCACCTGTGCTGCCACGAGGAGCTGCGGCTGGGATGAGCCATGAGCTCACCGCAGCACGGGGAGCAAGTCTTGGTGCCACCCCAGTTCGGCTCAAAGTGGGTGAGGGAGGTCTAAGAGACCTGGTGTTTGAAGCCAAGGGGTGTTTTCCTGCCCACCCTCCTTGGCTTCTTCACTTCGTCTCCCCGGGGCAGCTCGGCCGGATCCGGCCCCCCACGGATGCCGAGCTGTCCCCACGCTGTACCGTACCTTCACAATCTCTTGTGCGATCTGCCTCGTCTTGTTGACATCCAGGACAATTTTGGCATCTCTCACCACCGAGTACAGAGTCCGTCCTTTACACAGGCTGAAAGAACAGGAAAAAAGCAGATTAAAACCACAATTTATAACCCCCCATCGAGAAACATCCCCGAGTTACAAAGGCAGAGGCTGCGGCGGGGAACTATAAATAACCACAAGAGCTTTGGCTCCGTCTCAAGGCACATTGGAGACCCAGCAAGGAAAGTGGGGGCTCCCCCCAGTTTGGCACTGGGAGGGGGCTCGTACTGCTGGCCGGCATGTGCCGGTGCCATCACCGTGGCGTCGAGCCCCACGAGGGGGAACCTGGGCTGGTTCCCAGCTTTTCGCCGCATCCCGGCCACCAGCAAAGCACCTGGTCCCTCTTGCTTCAGACTTTTTGTGCGAAACCGGCCGCGGCTCCCCGCCTCTTCCCTCCGAGGATACAATGCTCACAGATGTAATATGAGTCAAAAGAGGAAAGACAGAGAGGGGAAAAAAGAGAAAAAATTTTAAAAAAAAGAAAAAAAAACATCACTGCACTGTACAATGTCCTCCAATTTTCCTTCTCGTACCAATTACAGTAAAATCTATTTACAGAGCCTTAATTACCAAAGGCAGCTGGAGGGGGATGGGGAGGGGGGGGGATATAAACCAATTTAAAATATATTGACATTTGAATATCATAATGGAGTACGTGGGTGGATGCTGCCTCGACTGCCGCCCACAAAAAAAAAAATAAAAAATAAAGGGGCTTTTTTGCTTTTCTAGATCCACCCACGCTCATTACAGGCAACTTCAGAAAGATGAGACTGGATACCTGCGCCCGGGAAATAAAGCGCCCGACACGCACCTCGTTACAGAGGCTTCGGCGACCGCAGACGTTAATTTGCTCCAGCTCGAGTTAACAAATAAAAAGTTAAAGGTCTCTAATTCCTCTGCCCTCCCGTCGCTGCACCCTCGCTCAGCTCCACCGCTTTCCCCTTTGCCCCTCTCCTCCAGCCCCGGGGACACCAGCAGAGACCAGGCTGGATCTGGCCCCTGGGAGATGATGGGTTTTGTCCTTTTCTGTTGGAGCGGGTCCAGAGGAGGCCACAAAGATGATGCGAGGGCTGGAGCACCTCTGCTCTGGAGACAGGCTGAGAGAGGTGGGGTTGTTCAGCCTGGAGAAGAAAAGGCTCCGGGGACACTTTCCAGCAGCGTTCCAGTACCTAGAGGGGCTTCAAGAAAGCTGGAGAGGGGCTTTGGAGAAGGGTGTGTAGTGACAGGACATGGGGCAATGGCTTTAAACTGAAAGAGGGGAGACTTCCATTAGATCTAAGGAAGAATTTTTTCACTCTGAGGGTGGTGAGGCACTGGATCAGGTTGCCCAGAGAAGTTGTGGCTGCCCCATCCCTGGAAGTGTTCAAGGCCAGGTTGGACGAGGCTTTGAGCAACCTGGTGTAGTGGAGGGTGTCCCTGCCCATGGCAGGGGGGTTGGAACTGGTTGATCTTGAAGGTCCCTCGCAACCCAAACCATTCTATGATTCATATTCCTGCAACTGCCTCCTCGGTGATGCTTTTCCTTGCTCAGGTGTCTCAGCACGTCCCAGGGGACAGCAGCTGGACTGCAAACCCGCAGCACCCACAATTACCAACGCCGTCGTCCTCTGACTAAACCAGCCCTTCCTATCTTCTGCCACGGTTTGGCTGCAGTCACGGAGAAATACGAATTTGTCCAAAGATTAGGATCTAAGCACTCAAACTGCTACTTGGAAATAAGTGATAAAGCAAACCCTTGGGCTTGTGCGACCGGAATCAGAGAGTGCAAAATAATGACAGACACGAATTCTCCTTCCATCACCTTTCCAGTATGAAGCTTTTCTGCACTAATTTGCTAAATAAACCCATAAAGTTTGAAGTTCCACAAGGCAACAGAGCCTCCCATGACCTGCCTGGGTTCCAAGGAGCTGCCCCAGCCCTCCCCACTCCCCAGCAAACGCTCGTTTTCCCTTCAGAGAAAACCATTCCAGAAAATCACTCGTGGTCTGCGTTAGTCATGAACCGACACTGCGAAGGCAATGAATAGATTACCGTGATGGACGGGGCTTTGATTTCATCCCGAAGGTGAGTCAAGATCAGCTGTTTTCCTGGAAAAGGCTTGTTTTGAGAAAAAAACCTCACATTTCTGCCCATCCAAACCGCAGAGAGAACCCCAGGAGTGGAGCCCGCGGCCCTTTCCCGGCGCGATGCCCAACTCTCCACTTCATTTACAGAGCGACCCTGTTAAAGGAGGCAGCGGATGTGCCCGGCGCGAGCCATGGCACGAGGAGAACAGCCACCGCGCGGACCCAGGGTGGTGGTACCAGCACATGATGAAGCACCGCGGGCACGGGACGTGCCACCACCGCTCGTCAGAGCCCAAGCGAGCCGGCGAGGCAGCCCAGGTGCTTCTCTCCTCCCCTCGATGAATAATTCCTCCGAACGAATTCAACTCGCGACCGCCGCGCCGGTATTTGTTAAGAGTTTTCTTGCTGGATAAGGAGCTGCCAACGCAGAGATAAAGCCCGGTTGATACCTATTATGCAGCACCTGAGCCCATTCAGCCACCACCTGCACAACCTTTTCATGGCAGAGCTCAACAATTTCCAATTTCGCTTCTTCTCGCTCCTCGCCTGCCGTCAATCGTTCCCCATTCGGCTCCCGGGGCGCGCACAGCGTCTTCTGCCTCTCCGCTTCAAGAGGTCTACGCCGAACGGTGGCATTGAGGCACCCAGCCGGCTGCGAGCGAGCGATGCTGCGGATCACAAGGCCGGAGACCGCCTCCGCTTGACACCAGAAACAAAGGCAGACGATTCACGTCTTCAGACAGATCCCAGCTCATTCACCGCTGAAGTATGTATTCATAAACAAATACTTGGCTTCTCCTCCTAAACATCTCCATCGCACCCGTTGGCAGAGCAAGGAGGTTAGTGACACATGCTCTGACACCCTGTGGTGACCAAACCCAACCAGAGGCATGGGGCAGCAGGGACAGCCTGGACGGGCAGCTCAGGGAGATGCAGAGGTCCATCTCGGCATCCCCAGCACCCAGGAGTGCATCTCAACCCATGGCACAACCTCAGCTCACAGCCTTCCCCAGCCCGGCCCTGCGGCCCCATCCCGCTGCAGATGTAACTCTATTCAAAATGAGTTTTTGAAGTGTTCAGCCAAGCAAGCCAAATCCCAAATTGCTTTATAAACACTCTGCATTTCACCAGCGTGGGCTGAAGACATCAGCAACGGGAGCAAAGCCAAAGCGACTTGCAGAGGAACAATTTGGGAGGGATGAGTGAGGAAGAGCTGGAGCACTGCCTCTTGATATTTTTGTCATTTGATGGGAAAACAGCATCATCCTTCCCCCATCCATTGAGGGTTTTCCACACCCCTGCAATACTGATGGCCATCACCTCCACATTGGTGACCATCACCTCCACATTGATGGCCAACACCTTCACATTGATGGTCATCACCTCCACATTGATGGCCAACACCTCCACATTGGTGACCATCACCTCCACATTGATGGCCAACACCTTCACATTGATGGTCATCACCTCCACATCGATGGCCAACACCTTCACATTGATGGTCATCACCTCCACATTGATGGCCAACGCCTCCACATTGATTGCCAACACCTATATGTTGATGGCCAACACCTCTACGTTGATGGCCATCACCTCTACAGAGTTGAAGACCTGAGCCTGGCTCCTGCTCAGGAGCAGAGATAAATCCAGAGCTGACAGTACGGCGGTTGCATGCAGGTCACGATGCTGTTACTTACCAGTGTTTTGTGTTTTTCTTCCCTCTCCCCAACCATCCACATCCACATAAATGCCCATTAAATGAAATAGGATCATTTGAACACCCCGAAGTGAGAAATGCCAGACCCCGGGAAGTTCATTACTAGCTGGGATATTGATTTATGGGGAACCAGCTCAGATACCATGGTGATAGCCGGCACTATGCACCCAGGGGAGACACAGAAGGAGAGCGCAGGAATTAATAATAAGTACTTTAATATAAAAATACCTCTGCTAGCGAGTTACATTTGTGCTTGAGGAAAGACAGAGCAAAGGAGAGGCTGCTCGGATGCTTCCACGTTCCCCATCAGTTTCCTGATTTCTAGTATTTCACAGAAAAGAAGAAATCTTGGGGGAATAGTAAGAAAGATACGGCCACAACGACCAAAGCCGCTGAGCTGGGACTTATTTGATTTCGTTTGAGCAGGACTAGCCGGGGCAGGGAGGGGAGGAACAAGGACTGTACGCGCCTGAGTTATTCAGGAAGTTTCGGAGTTGTTTCCATCCATCGCCTTGGTTTTCCCTTTCACTGACGTCTGGCAATTGTGTCTTTGAAACAAGACAGCCACAAACATTTTTCACAAAACTGAAAATTAAACCAGGCTGGAAGGGCAGCAAAGGGAAAGGTTTGGGTTAATTTTCATCCCTCGACTCTATTCTCCTCCAAATCAATAGGAACCCTCGTGCTTTTGATGCGCGTTCTCCCCGCTATGCCGGCCTGAGCGAAGAGGAGCAGCAGCAGCATCCAGCTCGAGCTCCCCCAAACCCTCTGCGTCTGAACGTCACCCCAAGGACAGCAGGGACAGCCGGCGTCGTGCTGACATGACCTGCAACGAGTTTGTCAGGTCTCAGTCTAAGGAGAAGGTTGGTAGGTGTCGGACCCTACATCTATATACACATTTTATTTTATTTTTCCCTAATGAAAAGCTTGGGAGGGGGATAAAAAAGCTTGGCTGGTTCCCAGACCAGCTGTCCCTGCTGGGATTCCAGCGGCACCCAATGCTATTGGGGCCATGGGTGCCCCCGGCCATGCCGAGGGATGCTCAGGACTGGTTCCACTGGGATTTACCAGCCCTGAAACCCCTCTGGAGAAGCGAAGCAGCTCCTCTCTGAGCCACACAGACCCAGCGCCCTGAGATTTAGCACGGAAACGATTCAGCCCCGGGACTCCAACTTCTATTTCGTTTCCCTCCTCCTTGCTGTGCCCGCTGGCACGGACGGAGCCGCCTGCCCCTCTGCTCCCATC